ATGTAATATGACAGTATATACTTAATCTAAGTTTTTCTTTTTTAAAAAAATAAATTAAAAACTTATTTGGGGGTTTTGACCCATTTTTTTAAAAAAAATCTACTTTGACCGGTTAACCGCTCTAGTTAGTCCGGTTCCAGTTTCGGTTCCGATTCGAACAGCTCCCAACCTCATGACCGGTTAACCATTCCGGTTCGATTTTGCGAACACTGGTTGCCACCCCTAATGTCCCTTGAAAATTGATTGTCCAAACAATTTGTTACAAGACTTACTATTTTAAGTCTTAAATCCATTTTTTTCATATCCATAATTGTAGAGGTCGAGATAATCAATGATAGGCTTTTTCAAAGCCAAAATCATTTTCCGATGGGGTCTTAAAGCATAGGCCTTACATAAATTTTTCCACAAAACATACACATCTTATTATGAACACAGAGCCATGCTTGCTTCTCTGCACACACCATCAACCTGCTTGTTTTGAAATAAGACAGTCGGTTTGTATAGAGCGCGATAGATCACTGGTTTTTCAGAGCCAGCCTTCGAACCAACCACGGACTATTAGGCGAATCACCTCCATTCCGTTCCTCAACAATCAAATGCCAATACCAAGCTAATATAGGCTAATAAGCAAGTTGATATTCTCCCTAGAGGGCATGACTTGACCAAAGATCTAAAGAACTGGAAATGTCATGAATCTCATCTACAACATCATTGAACCATCAAAATCTGCTAGTACCACCCTTTTATCCCACCCTCTTAATGTTCAGCAAATTCCCTTCTGGGTGGGTCCCAAAGATGAACGAGACACATACAAATGAAGTCTGCCCAGGCAACCTTGGTTTCAGCAAATTCCCTTCTGGGTGGGTCCCAAAGAAGAACGAGACACATACAAATGAAGTCTGCCCAGACAACCTTGGTTTCCACCTCCATCGAATCTATGACACGAATCGAGTAGCAAATTCCTTTTTTCACTACTTGTGCTCCACCTCTAATTAGCCTAGAGAGTACCTGAAGTAAGAGAAGCCCTACCGATCACAAAAAAGAGATCACATTCCAACCTCCTTAATACAGATTCATTGACAGTACGCAAGGAGCTAAGAAGAAAAAAAGACCATAAAACAACTCACCTGAACATCCTGAACTATCCTTCTCAACAATTCTGAAGAAGTTGGAGTGGCTAAGAGGAGGAACCCTGAACCTCCGTTTGTTCACCCTTGCTCACGAGGCTCTACCATCTATAACAAAGCATTAGCAAACATGACACATGGATGTATTCATGGGACAAATTCTTGGACCTTTAGTCTTGGTTGATGATCTCCCCCCCCCCATAAGCAACAACCAAACGAAAAAGTTAACAATGATGCCTCTGGTGACGCCTCCACTGCTGGGAAGATGATCATTGATGGAGAAAATGGAAGCTCAGTTCATGTTTTGGAGAGCTTCGACCCATCTGCATATTTTTATCATTTCACAAATCTGAGCATTACTCAAAATCAGTTAGCTGTTATTGGCAACGTTTAGAAGCAAGACAGAAAACGTAGTAGTAGAAAATGTGGCCCCAAGGTAACAAACATTCATGTAGACAGGGTCCTTTCAAAGCGAAAACCATAAAAAAGGAAATATGTTCTCTACATGTCACTGTGGCTCTCTTATTTGTTTTACACCAGGTCACCAACCATGGATATACTACACTAAACAATTCTGCATTTTGCTAGCTCTAACATCATAAGCTACGCCATAGCAACTCTACATAAAATTGTTATATATATTTGCCTAATTGCTTTACAACAAGATATCTGGACCATCTTAAAAAATTCCTATGGCTACCTCGAATTTATACCTATCTGCGAAAATTATAATGCTCCAAACAAAAATCCATTGAAGATTTATTTGCACAATGAGAACTAGCTTGGATACAAAGCCGAAACTACAATTCCTTTGCCCTCTCTCCCTCCCACCCTAAGATTCATTTGCACAATGAGAACTAGCTTGCCCTATACTTGTAATTTCACACAAATGCAAACAAAGTTAACCAGATTTCTTTGTTCATCAACAAATCGATGCTATGAGCAACATAATACATTGGCAAACGGGTCGAAAGTCAGATTTGTCATTTCTTTTTTCTTTTAAAAGAAGAAGGGCATTATAATGAGTTTGCAAGAGAGGAACAAATAACATAGATTGTCTTTTTTCTTTTTTTTTGCTTTTTTTTTTGGGGAGAGAGAGAGAGAGAGAGAGAGAGAGAGAGAGAGAGTACTGTTAGTTACTCTAGTAGACGATCGTCCTTTACCTACTACGTCCGTTTGGTTTTTTGGGTTTTTACGTTTAAGTTAACAGTAGTA